TTCCTTCCAAAATTCTGATTGTTGATATCGTATAGAACACTTAATGTTCCATTCACAGTTTATAATTATTATATTTTAACTGTTAATATAATCTTAAGCACCACAAGAGATCGATAGGAGGTTTTTTAGTTATCTTCAATCGTAGACAGCAATATTGTCTTTTGAAGCGTTTTTTTTCTCCCTTTCCAATACTATGCAATTTTTTAATACATAGTTACGTCTACCCCCTTTAAACTTTAGATGAAGACTTTGATACTGCCTCTCAGATCGCTCTAGACATTTTTTTTTCTATAGGTACCATTTCATCAAATGCGTCTAATATAAATTTGATAAACAACCATAACTTTTACCTCGTTTTTTTTATTCATTTCGCCTCCCCCCTCTCTCTCTCTCTCTCTCTCTCTGCAATCTATATCTCTTTCTCTCTGTTCTATCTCTTGTTTCTCTCTCTCTCTGTTTCTCTTCTCTGTGTTTTTCTCTTGTCTCTCTATTTTACTTTATCTGGTTTCTCTTTCTCACTGTTTTCTCCCTCTCTTTTTCCTCCGCGTTTCTCTTTCTCCTTTTGCTCTGTTGTGTCTCTTCTCTGCTTCCTGTGTGTCTGTTTCTCCCGTGTCTCTCTTTATGTCGTCTGCTTCTCTCCTCTAGTGTCTGTCTGTCTATCTATCTCTCTATCTATCTCTATCTATCTCTCTCTTCGTTATCTCTATCTCTTCTCTATCTCTCTCTATGTCCCGCCCTCTCTCTTTCTCTCTATGTCTGTGTTGTTGCTCCTACTGCCTCTGTCTCTGCCCGTGTATGTCTCTCCCTCGTGTCCTGGCTGGGCTTTCAGCGAGCGAGGGAGCGAGCGAGTTGGGGCGGCGCGCGCCCTGGCGGACAGCGAACGGCTTTTCAGCGGCTGTCGCGCCTTTCTCAGGCCCTCCATCGCCTACAGCCATTAGGCGTCAGTGGCGCCACCCCCTCCTCCGCACTCCCACTCCACTCCACCCCCCTCCCAACCCCAACCCCACCCAACGCCCAACCCCACCCCCCAACCCCCCACCCGGCAGCGCCAAGGTCACCAACGCCACCACCGACTCCAATTACAAGTTTCATCAATGCAACAGGGGACGCAAATGACACATAGGGAAAACCAGCGACCTCAAGGACTCTAATGGCATCAATAACTAGCGTCATCAATGATGCGGGCGACATCTGAGACTCTAGCGACACTTATGACTAGTGACATCAAAGGCACCAGCATGGTGACGAATATAACTACAGCAACATGATACCGACTTCGAAGACGCCAAAGCCAACAATGTCGTCCCAAAGACTCTAACAACGAATGACTTCAGCAGATCTAATGTCAATATCACCAAATAATAACAGCGTTACTGACGGGAATAATGACAGTGAAAAACGGCACATTTTCGTATATAAACTCTTACAGTATACTTCTATTAAATCAGAGAGCGAATTGACATTGGATCAGTTAGGACGCGTTTAATCAATCAGGAGTTTCGGTACGACTTCAGTAGCAGAAGTCAAGTCGTAACCAACCTTCGGATTGTAAATCTACGTTGGCGAAAACCTTATCTATTATGTGTAAAATGATACGTTAAATAATATGGGTTATGGCAAATTTACGTTATTTTAATATTACATCTATGATGTGTATAATTGTCATCAAACTACTTGAAAAAATGCTCTCCTAAAAACAGTTTCAAGAATAAAATTAGCCTATTTGTTATATAACGGCCAATATTGTGCTTACTAATGTAAATTTTAACCCAGCGATGTGAATACATCAGTACACTAGTATTTGCACATTTTAGCGCGGCGATACAAAACACTTGGAATCATAAGAAGCATTTTGCAGCACACGTACGTCATGCGGGTTGCATCGCTGAATCCCTATAACGCGTTTCTTCTTTGCTTCTTCACTTTTTAGTGTTCTCACTTCATACTTTTTTAGTTTGTAATTTAACGCACGTTGAATCAACTTTCGTATCTTGATCTGAAAGAGTTCAAACTTAATCAAAAGTAGTATTGTTACAACAAAAAACCCTTTCTCGCATAACTTGAAACTTTTGCAACTTTCGAAAATTCAGGAACTTCAATGCAAATCAACCTTTTTTAAAAACGTATTTCGCACTTTTGTACACAACATTTTTAAAAAGCACACGAGCCAATTTTAGAAAATATCTTGTTTTAGAAATAACCTTTATTTCATATATAGTTACGGGAAAACAGCTCATGTTTTAAAAATGTGCACATGGCGTCATTTGAAGATCTAATTTTGCATCAGAGATATCATTCAGAAGTAAAATCCTGTTCAAAAAGTTCATCTTCGTTAAAATATATCCGTTTGAAATTCAAGGAGACACGACATTAACCAGAACCATTGGGGAATATTAATTTTTGTGGTAATTCTGCACGCTAGCCTTTTAGCCGCTAGCTATGGTCATGGACGGATGGAAAGACGGACGTTTTACCCTACACCAGTTATTCGATTTCCACAAAGCATGGATTCTGACCACACAACATGTGAGAGGAAGTAATTTACTGAGCATTGAAATAATAATTTTCCACTTTTTCGATATCAGGGACCGAAAACCGCTTTTTTTAACGAAAAATTGCTGTTTTTCGCTGCTGCGTTACGTAGCTTTCTCTGTTCTCCGCATATGATATGTGAGAAACTAAAAAGAATTAGGCTTGTCCTTAGATACATTGGAAATGCAGTTGCAATAGGCATAACAAACGCTTCATATTCCAGTGTTACTAGTATTTTATTTCATTTAGTTTTGTCTATTGTGTACATGCCTTTATATACCGTAAATGTAAATGTGTTAAGTGACATATTTTTCTTCGTGTCAAAATCAGGGCAAATCAATGTTGACTTAAAGAATTATAGTAATTTTCTAGTTTTTAATAAGTTATATGAGGTAATACCTAAGTTTCCAGTAAGTAAAATATTTTTAGTAATATAATTTATTAATGGTTTTAAAATAGTTATATGTATATGAGTGCACATAAGTTCTAACTGATGATGCGGGATTTCAAACAGCTTGGTGGTACTGGAGTATTATTTATTATCAAATGATAATAATATCTGATCAAATGATCAGAAAGAATCTTAGTCATCTTAGCGTTGAATTCATGGATTTGAGCCAATTTTCAAAATTAGTACATTACCTGCTAAATTCAAACCCCTATTGAAACCGTACGTTGTTCATTATCATCCTACTTGTCTTACCAATTTTCTCTATGTAACCCCATAGATACATAATAACTACTTTAAAATAATATACGTCATTTCGTTAATGTAGAAATACGTATCATGTGAAACAATATATGGACATAAAAATTACCAATTATAATAAAAGTAATATGGTAACTTTTGCATCCTTTCGGCAACCTAAACAATTTGTATTGCATTTCTTCTAGGTAATTTGTTATGTATTTTTTAAATAACGTTGATACTTTGTTAAAATTGTACACTATTTTTTAAAAGTATTTCCCACATTCTTCTTTATATACATATGATATGTATGTATTTATTTTTAGTCCACTAATATATTATTACATACTTGCTTAAAACGGAAATATCCGGTAAGTATAAATTTCAATTTTGATGAAGTACTTTTGTTTTTAATTCTTATTTTTCTATTCAATACTCATCATATCTTATAGGGTCATGTGAAGTGCAAAAAAGTATTTAATACTCTCGTGTATATGATTGTAAGGTTTAGAAAATAGTAAATGTTAAGCCAACAAATACAAAACACATCGGCAGTATCGATTTCCTAAATATCTACTTACATATTATAAAAAGTAATGTCTATGAATGCGAGGGTCACGCCGAAAGATATGGCTATTTATATTTACTTGCTCATATACTTGCGTATACCGGAGTAATATACGTAGAATTCAGAAAGTGATGTTGAATTAAATTATAAAAGTATATTTAACTTATAATTTTGAACAGCACCGAGATAGTATTTAGTTGGTGAAAGGAGAAAATGAAAATCATCAATCGTTTGTAGCGCGTTATTTCCTGTATTTCTTATAAATCTTACACTCGAGCGCCTACATACTTGTATGTCATCTGCAATCTTTACAAGCACTCTTTCAAAAAGTTCGTTCATGCTATCAACGTAATAATAATTGTAGGCGTCAAATCCCCTCAATTACATTAAAAAGAATTTTGAGATACTTTATTTATCCGGCGTGTCATTACTGTGGCAACGCCTTCCCGTGATCGGAAGTGTATCTTGCAGGGCAAGTATTCACTCATTCGAACCATTTATTGGTATTATCAACGTCATACGTACGCACTCGTGATTATGTTTTACATGTTACACAGTATTAAATACATTTGTTACGAACGATTGGTGTATCTTATTTTATCCTCCCTTAAACCATACAAAAACTCTAATTTTTAAAATTTCTTCGTTTAAACTTCGCGTATATCGCAAACGTCTCGTAAAACAACATTGGTCACGACTTCTTGGCTTTCCGGGTGACGGTGACGGCTGTCCTTGGCTGAGAGACGGACGATTTGCCTGTCATGTCGCAGGCTTCCTCAGAGTGGTGACCAGCTACCTTACTCAGCCAGCCGTCACCCGGACAGCAAAGACCAATGTTGTTTTACTGGTAAAGTTTGCGATGTACGCAAATCATCATCCGTCGAGCCAAGAACACCTTCACCCCTCGCTTGATAGAAACGTGCACAGCACTTACAAACCGGGAAACACGAAATAATCACAGACTTCTATTTCATATTATTCAGCTTACGTAATCTAGAAGTAGAGAGAAATCACCAAAAATCAAAATTTAATTTCAATTACTAAGGCTGCTTAAATCAAGAATTTGGGCCAGTGTGCCCGCTGTGGACTTTCGCTAGAGTAGAGCCTATTGCGCCCGAGTGCCTCCCCCACCTCTGACTCAACCAGCAGCGGACCGCCCGCTTGAGCAGCCCCGACTTGGCGTCGAGCTCACGCAGCGGTCGTTGTTCGCAGGAGCCTGGAGTCGAGCCTGTTCAACAAGGCGAATGAGCTGCAGGAGGACATCAGCCTGAAGCGCTTCGACCTGCGTGTGGCGCAGATCCACCTGGGCGCGGTGCGGGCGCAGGTGAGCGGGCTGCCTTCCTTCTTTGGATATTCCCAATACTTCAGTCGAATGTTTGTGTCGGTACAAGTTAGAATCAGTCAAGTTAATCCCATGCCCATTTTCTTCAATACGAATTCATCGTCTTTAAATGCCTCTCATAAAATTACGTAAATATGACGTAGGGTCATTACGTCAGAGATTTGAAAGTTTTCATTCGGAAAATTGGAAGCCAGACCTTTGCTGATTAAACAAAACGCAATTGTAAGAAACACTCTTGTTCTTTGTTAACAATTTCAATAATACAAATTTCATGAGAAAATTTGAAACGCGATAACGCAAGTAAAACGACATTTTGTTTTAGAAACGATGCGATTCATCAACTCGTGAATAGCAAACATAGGTTAATAGACTGGAAGAAAGATATGGAAAATAAGAAAGTTACTCCCTGTTATATAGAAGTGAAACATTAATTGAAATTCATAGTAGAATATTTTCGATACCGTTATGTCCTAGTCCATTAGTCGTCAGCTCACGCTTGTTGTTTCTTTTTTGTCTCCAAGAGATAGTAGCTTCTACCGTCAATGAGTCAGCTTTAAGAGATTTATTGCATTTCCACAGTAGTGATAAAGTTGGCTTTCGGGTTTGGGACCACCTGCAATTCAAGGGTGACCTCCTGGAATCACCTAGAATATCTCATCTCGTATGTTTTGTACGATGAACAGGAGCATTCTTATTCCACATTCAGACACTTTGTTTATCTAATCCTACGTTATCGTAACGCGTTCTCGGCCTGCTCTAAGCCTTTTATCTGAGCAAAGGCATTACCATTATACACCACATCGAATATTCCATAGTGAAAGAAGAATTGCAACATAATTGTCTACGTATATAATATATTTACTCACATCACGCAAAATTGAGTTAAATATTTTATAGATATAAAATTTTGTTTAGTGTGGTATAATTCTCATCTTTTATATAAATAATCCATATAGCTATGATGCGATATTTCGTCCTGTACGATAAAACGAATGGTGATTTTAAATATATCCTAGGAACTGAACTTTGGACATTGGAAACACGCATTTTTTTACATTTATTACAATTTGTATACCCTGAAACACATTAGCGAACATGAAATTTTGTTATTCGTAGGTCTTTGAGAAATTAAAATCGTGGATAAGGTTAAACAAAACTTCAGTTTTCTTCAATTCTTAATGAAACGTTGAAATTGTTCGAGCAACGTGCCGGTCGCGCTCACCGCGGCGTTCACACCCGAAAGTCATAAATAGTAACCCGAAAACTTAAAAGAGAGATGTTATTGCTGTCTTTATCACGTCCTGAGAGGTACAAGAATTTGCGTGTGTGCCTTTATTAGATAAATGAGGGTAAAAAAAACTTACATCCATGGATGTCAACGTTGCACTCCTGGGTGTTCCATTGGATCCGGAATTGTCTGAGCAATCAATAGCCGATAGTCCCCGCAGGGGCTCCACTCGGCGGTCTCTTTCTCCACCAAATGACGAGGAAAACTGTAGGAGCTGTCAGAAGGTCGAGTGACGCCTTCGCGATCCATAGTTTGAAACTCTTAATTTGGTCGCTTTTAAACGATCTGGAGCGAGATTCCTATAAGTTTGAGTACCTGAAATCATTTGAAGGAAAAGGCTCGTATAGTGTGGCACTGGAGACTGTGTGCCCGCCGGTTTCACGAATTGAGGAAAATCTGAAATTTTCGCGTTAACGGAGGCGTCGTTGGTCGGCAACATGCTTAAGCGTGATTGGTGAGTAGGTCTTCTGTCACAGCATATTGAATTGAATTAATGCCTTATTTTACGTGGCGAGACTCAGGCCATCAGGTCCGCTCTTCCGTCTGACCACGCAAATTTCGCTACGCTCCTTTTACCAAATAGCGGAGAAAGGAGGTATTTCTTGGGCGACGAAACAGGCGATTTGAGTTTATCTCAGAGACGTCATTTAGACTTGAGGATCTTTTACATGAAAGTAAATCTACTAATATGGGCCAGCCGGGTTTACTTCCCCTCCAAAGGACGGCGAAGGATTTTGTTGCCTTAAAATGTCCACGGCATCGGGTTTGAACCCGCCTACTTGGGTACAAAAGCCCTAACTACTACACTAACGCACATACGCTATTACACTATCGCATATTGGAATGTTGATAGATTAATTTTCCAGAGTAACCATCAGGAATTGGTTGATAGAACGCAAGGAGATCTGCGCCAATTATGAGAACGTGTACATCGGAAATAGGAAAGTTACACCTTAGGTCACGAGTAATATATTAATTTCCGTAAGACGCTAAATCTGTGCCGTTAGCCGTCCATATCCATTGTGGCTTAGGTGGTTGGTATCCGTTGTGGTTTGGTTTCCTGCTTACAAGTAATTAAGAAGAGTATATATCTGATCTGGTTTAATTAAAATAATTTTATGGTACGCGAATCATAACTCAAAAGAAGTCAATTTGTATTTTGCCCTGTTTTCAGGGAACGGGCTGAATTGTTTTCACTTATTTGCCTTCTGGCCTTATGTGGTACGACAGTAGCAGATACCTACAGAGTTCTGATAGCTACGCAGATCTGTTGTCAAGATTTATCTTAACGAACCTGAGACGCATTGATACATGAGTATTGACGGCGGGGGCGGCGGAAATGGTGCTCGGCAGACTCCGGCGTACTTCCGGTATCCGGTCGGCCTTCGCAACGCTCTTCCTCAGGAGAACAGAGAGCAGATCTCAGCCAATCCGACTGGAGTTAGGGATAAAGCGGTTTGCGATCAACTTTCTCGCGGTATCTTCCGTTTCACCTGCTTCTTCACCCAACACACACTCCATTATACCGATAATTTCTTCGTTTTCATCATCATCATCATCATCATCATCAATTCCAATGTCCCCGCACACCTTGAAAATCCAACGTTGGGCACGATGACATGATGGGCTGGGTGCGGAACTGCGGCTATTTTGCCGACAGCAAACTTCTAAAATTAATAATACTTTTAATATTATTAATAAGCATTGTTGAAATGTTTACGCCAAAACACATTTATAACAATGCAACCTATTGCATACATAATTTTTGTGTAAACATTTCAATTATTTCTAAAACACTTCAAAATTCTTTACTATCCATCTCGCAAATAATTTACTCATTGGAGGAGAGACATAACTATTTACCTCTCAATGAAACCAAAGTTCAAAGGAAATTATTAAAACCTCCAAGCGGTTGGGGGGATGTAGACTCTCAAAATCGATATTTGGGCGATATCAATATTATCCCTAGTCCACGAAAACAAAGACCTGTTGGTTATCAATCGATAACTAACGTCCTCTGGGAGTCCTCTGGTGACATAGAAACGCTACCTATTGCGAAGTCAGGGTGACGGCGATGGGGGCAGGCTCGACCAGCGAACTTCCTTTCCCGGTCGTCTGTTTCTTCCTAACGAGCTACCCTACTTACTACTACTTCTTCCTAACGAGCCGTAAAAACTTAATGTATATAACTTAAAATAATTTTCTTTATTTTCATGAACCTAACGTTTTAATTTCAAATCTGTTGCTATTTTCAGTCAATCTTTGCGTTATTTGAAGAACTGATAATTAAAATACAGGCTGTTGTCAATTATATTGCGTTATACAAACTCTTACAGCCACAAACTCATGTTTTTATTAATAACTGTTAATGATTATCATAATTTCTTAATGTCTGAAAAGCGGTATCAATAATTATTAAGATTCAAAATTCCTTAGATCATAAATTTCAGCCCCGCAGCTAGTCTATACATTATTTAAATGATATCTAATGAGTCTATACGCTGTCAACGTTATATTGTATGGTGTTTTTTTATATAATGTGGTTGAAACCTAGTTGTAACGTACTTCATTACATACAATGCAAATAAGTCCAAACTTCTGTAAATGAATGTATAAAATAGTTATACCTACCGCTAAGAGCATATTTGTACTTATAAATAGCAGCAGCGAAAACTCATGTATTTAGGTTTATTGAGAGTTTCTTATGAATGAAGAAGAGTTTTTAAGCAATAATTCTCTGGTTCTGCTTGACCACAACTCTGAATTTAGTCTTTGAGAGAACAAAAGTTTATTTAAACAACAGGTTTCTGCCGTACGTCCCCAAATTACAAGTCAAAATTCGGAGAATATCTGTAACAATTGTTAGAATAGTAATCATTAATATACTCTCGTTTAATGCCGAATGTCACAATCGAGTTCCAGCATATGCTGTATTCCTTTTAATCGAAAAAATAAAACAAATTTCCTAGAAACGTTGACCCAAGCCTCATCGAGAGGCGACGGACGCCGATGGAGTCTTACCGGGAGAGGTGTCTGAGGGAATAAAGTGATGACTCTGCAGTTCCTCTGACCGGGAGGTCCGGAGTTCGAAACCCGACGGTGGATTTTCAGCTAAATTGCTCGATCGACTTCAGTCGATATTTGGAGGACAATTCTAGTGGCCGGCTGCTGTGATCGGGAGTTTTTCAAGTTACTGCGATCAATACCAGACGAATACCGGAGCAGTACTCTAACAGATATTTCCTTCCTCTTTCTTGTGTTATTCTCACCCTTTACTTACGACACTTCCACTTACATTCACTATACTACCATACTGCCGGGAGCCCGTTCCGGCGAGGGTGGTGTCCTGCTAGTGGGAGATACCTGGCTGAGAAAACCTCACTAGCCGACAATCTCCCGAGGGGAAACATGCTCTACACTTATGGGACTAATAACCTTAGCAATTGACACACCCAGAATCACTGATTAATCAATCAAAAAAACGACAGAATCGTACTGTGACTGGAAGGCATTGTTGCCCCCGCTGGAAGAGCGACGAGGCTCGGATCTCGGAGGTCTATGGCCTCAGCGGACTCTTCGTCCTGTCAAGCCGCAACTAATTTATCATTGGCAATCACCGTTACGAGAGTTCTCATTTCTAGCGTAAAAGCTCATGAAAATCATTATACATTTCCGAAATTGAAAAACGATTTGT